TCTCTCTCTCTCTCTCTCTCTCTCTCTCTCTCTCTCTCTCTCTCTCTCGTATGGTACGAATGCGAGAGAAAGAGACGAAACTGCAAAATGTCTGTCCATTAAGCGAAAGAAGTATTAAATAACAAATTTAAGAGTCCGGCAGAAAAATGGTTTGATTCAATTCCCAGCTTTACTTTATCTTATTTTATGCCATCGATTGACTCTAACTTTTCATTGCGGGGGTAACCACACTATGGGTCACTATTTTTAGGTTAGCTTTCAGAATTGAAATGTTATGTCATTTTAAGCCGTCCGTTGTGTTATATCCCAATGAGATTATTTGGCCGTAAAATCTTAGTTAATTTATTAAAGTTAAGTAATTAATGGCTAAAACATTATGTTTTATATCTATGGTGGCGTTGGTCTCATATATTGATAATAGTATTGAATGAAATGCAATTTATGGCCAATTGTGAACTCAATTGAAATGTTAGCTTTCAATTAAATTTTAAGATATATTGCTGTTAGAGAGCGCACACACTATTGCTTTTAAGCCCTATTTTATTGTTAGTTTGCAAAATAATTTAAAGGTTTTACTTAATTGTGTTTGAGTCCAAACATTAGGTTTTGTGATTTAAATTAAGTTCAAAGATAAACACAAAACGATTCTTTGAATTTGTTTTTAGACTTATCTCAAGCATTACGAGTTACGAGTTTTCTGTCTTATACTCGTTGTAATCGTTTTATTATATATTTTGAGTGCAAATATAACAGAAAATTGTTTGTAACGTATTTACAGATAAAGGTAGAGAATATGATTGTATTGTATTGTATTATTGCACAATTTCTGTTTTGTTAATTCATAGTATTTGTCTCAATTGAGAGAATATTTGTTCACCAAAATGACTGAAATGACAGGTCTTGTGCTCTCAAGTGATTCTTAAGTCTCTCTCATATAAGAAGTCATAGAACTAGAGGTTTAAATATATATATGTTTATATTAAGGGAAATGAAGAATATTCTTATCGATGATAAAAGATATAACAGTATTTATAGGTGAGAGAGAGAGAGAGAGCACTCTATTTCCTAAGCTGTCAGTCTCTGGTCTTTTTAACATATAACGAGTTCTTTGATCACAATTTTGTCCGTTAATAACAATCTCTAATAAAACCCATCCATTGCTGTGTTGATGTCATTCTGTTTAGCATTGAATGGCTTTTTTCTAAACACAGAAAACATTTGGCTTTTAGTGAGACATTAGCAGTAATTTTCTGTTCCATTCGCTTAAATATTATGAGAGGTTTAGTGGAAAAATATTTTGGCTGAAGAGACCTTTTATGCCGGGGATAGATGTGTGCCATACGTGTTAGTGGCGTAACCAACCGTTCCCTCCCAGTGTCCATTCCTGTGCAACAGTAGGAACTGTAGGTTATCTATTAGTAGAGTATGTTTCGAGAGATGTTTTCTTACGGACTGAATATGTAGTCAAATGACGAGTGATATGTGAATGTATTTTGCATTTAATTAATTCACACGAAATTTGACTCATAATTGAATCCGATTTGAGCCATAATTCATAGTTTTATGTTTAGTTAATTGATTGCATTTATGCTGTGATTGCGAAAACATGTCTCTCTTTGTGAGCCGAGAGGTTGTGTTGTGTATTGCAATCAAATCTACATCTCATCCATAACTTTATCGCCAAAATTATATGTAGTTTTTGTGCTGAAGTCAGTGGTTATGGTTTATGGCTTTTGGTACGACTGCCTGTCCTACGCATCTGTATTTAATGGCGATATTGAATGGCGTGGAGGAGTAGTCATACATTTGCACTGTTCATATTGATTGAAGAGTTATACATTCGTTGAGATGCCTTTCCTCTATTTCCAGTTCATATACGCGTTATCTCTACTTCTGGAGATGTGTAGCGCCTTTGTGTCCATTTGTGTCAATTCAGAGGATCTGTTCATTGAATACTAGAAGAGAGAGAGAGAGAGAGAGAGAGCGTGTATGGCGTGAGCACTCGTATGTCTGTGTAAGGTATGAGTGGTGGCGGAGGTCTCGCTGGTGATGACTACTCGTCAATGACTGCCTGGAAATGCTTTTTATGCGCTTAAATGCACACAACAATTGAGTCCATGATTGTGATACTCGGCCACAAAGTGTCGTGTCTTTCTCTGGCACTCAGAGCGCCGGCATTTAATTGCTTTGTGTGCTCTTTGAGTTCAGACTCAGCCTATTAGACCACACGAGCACATAAAAGACAAATATTATTGATAGCCGTCTCTTTCTAATCTACCGGAGCTCTACGACAACTGTATCTCATTTTCAGTGCACTTCTTGGAAATAGAGCCGAATGTGAGAGAAAAATAAACACCAAAATTGTCTGTTTGTTATTATTTTACATTATATTTTGTGTCAAGACTTCTCTATGTTTTTACAGTCATCTGAGTTGCAGTTTCACACAATATATTTAGCATTCAGTTAATGAGCTTTTTTGGACTCAATCTCCTCTCTGACGGTTCACTTTCCTCCCTCTCCTCCTCTCTCTCTCTCTCTCTCTCTCTCTCTCTCTCCCCTCTTTTCTTTCGACTTCTGTCTGTCTCTCAATCACTGGACAAACAACCAGTGCTTTAGTATTTTGAAACTAAAAGGAAACTGAAGAGATAATAAGGCAAACATACGGCTCGGTTTGCTCTCTCTCTCTCTCTCTCTCTCTCTCTCTCTGCTTTATTAACTCGAGATGAGAGTCGAGAACAACTCATTTCCAGAGAACTTCAACTCATGTTTCTCTCACTTTCTTTGAGTCAAATTTAGTTGATTACAAACTTTTCTTTTATATACTCTTTGATATCTGTTTTCAATTTTAATTTATCTGCACAACAAAAGTTTTTACAATTAATATTACGTTAATTATCTACCTTTTTTTAATAGTATTATATTTTAATTAGATTGGTGAGTTGTTTATCAATATATCGTATATCAAATATCTTTTTCAATTTAGCCACTAATAATAAACAAAATGAATGGCGAAATGCATTTAAGATATAATTTCTATTTATTAAAAAATATAATAAATAGGTTTTTGCTATTCAACAAATAGCTTTTCAATGAATTCAGGTATATATAAACATAAAGTGAATGAAATTTTTATTATAAGCTTATAAATAGGAGAGAGAGAGAGAGAGAGAGAGAGAGAGAGAGAGAGAGAGAGAATTGGGAACATAATATTTAATATTGGACACAGAATTGATAATAGACTGCATATTAGAGTATATATTAACTCGATATTAGTATTAAAATGGTTGGCAAAGTGTATGTATGAATTGCACTGTAAAGCGCTGTAAAGAGATTGTGAGGCAATGGTTGTATAGAAAGACAGGAGACGTGCACTCATTTCCTCGACTGTCAATGCCTTTGCTTATGAATAGACTAACAGATGCTTTAATTAAAAAGTTTTGCCTCTAATATAATATAATATATTATATATTATGTACTCTCTTTATATAAGATATTGTCTTTCATTTAATGCATTAGTTATTCAACTGATGAAAGTTTAGGCTTCTGTTCATTATAACAGCACTACTCCTAACACTACTACAGCAGTAGTAGTACTAGTGATACAGTACTGTATAACCAGAACAGTATGTTTCAGGATTTGAGTGTTTTTTAGTATAGTGTGCCGTATATTGGCATTAATTATCTTATATGTGAAGCATCTTTTGATTGGTTAATATTGTTCTCAATTATTGATACCATATGTTGTATATACTATAAAGTTTTGTGTTGTCTAATGGACTCAAAACATTATTTTATATCATTGTTCTAAGAGTTGCAAAGAATTAGTGTATAATAGCATTGAAATAGAGATTGCGATAGCATTTGATGAGTTTGCGATCGGAGTATCCATTTCTCTAAAAGTTTGCTGAAACCTGAACTCTAACCCATCGTCTCGAGTCGCAAACAAAATTGAAATTTTGCTTCTCTTTCGCTGCCTTTTCCTCTCTCTCTCTCTCTCTCTCACTGTAATGAAATGTAAGCCCAAAGGCAGGGCATCTCTTACATAATCGATTGGCCCGTGTTTTTCATCTCATTGATGCACTGATACGACCAGTACTTTGTTCACTCATATGATAGCACTGGTAGGTCTTATTATTATGCTTTTGTTCACTGCTATCCCCACGTATTCTATTCACAATCAATTAGTGGCCCAAAAACATGAGTATAAACTTACTTATTATTCTCATGGCTTTGCTTTCAATTAAAAACAATATATATATACCTACAGTATTTATGGCTCACAATAACTATAAGTAATTGCAAACTATTCTAATGCTATAGTCGTATAGTTTTAAAGCAAACGTCTCTATAATACTCTTTCTCTGTCTCTCTATTCACACAATTCATCAGTCGATGCATTCAAGTGATGAATGCCTGCTATGAATATTCAGATGGAGTTTGGGTTACGTTTTACTTAACATTGATTCGTGTCTTTTATGTCATACAAACTCAGCGAATAATATCTGTTTTCATATATGCATGCATTCAATACATTAAATAATTTTTCGACGTAATATTGCTTTTACTTATATTTACGTTAAGCCAAACTTATGTCTATTGGGCGTAGATTATAGTCCCGGCCCTTAATGTGCAAGAAATAAATATATAAGACATAATCTCTAGCGAGAACTGAATTCAGTTTGTGCTAACTGTAAGCAACAACAATTTTGTACACGTGTTTTCTAACTGGAACTGTTAAGTTATGTTTGGATGTGAATTTTCAATTAATAAATATTACGTGTAATTGATTTGATGTATAACTTATACGATAATAAGTGAATGTATTGGCAATGCATTAGACAATGGAAATGAGCACATCTTTGACGGTGTGTTTTGAGGGTATTGTGTGAATGGCATAGCGTTTGCAACAGTAATGTTCACTACTATTCCAGTGCATGAATTGCTCCCTAAATTCGGTAGCACTTCATGTGTTGCTCTTTGGTATCTAAGGAAACCATTTATATATATATACTGTTATTAATGTAAGTATTTTTCTTCTCTCAATTGAAAGACAAATGTAGAGAATTGTTGAGTGAAAGAAAGGAAAAACTGACAAAAAAGTAAAAATAATGTTTTCCTCTATTGATATATTAATATATATATTATGTTTTAAGCGATTGAAAAAACTTAACGCCTTATTCTTGCCTTACATTTGCTTTCTGTCTCTATTTCTATGTGTTTTTGGCTCTCATTTGATGATAGAATGACTCAATTTTGTGAATCGTTTCAATGTATTTGCGAAACATAACTCTAATGACATCAATATATTTATTAATCGGTTTGTCTTTAACCTGTTTGTCTTCAGACCAAACTTGAAGTGCTGTCCAATCGAGTGGTGAAGGAATCGTTGCACCGCTTGACGACACTGACCCTCACACTATGCGGACTAATTATGGCGGCACTGGTATCCGGGGTACTCCTATTCCTGTACAGACGAAACGCTAAGTTCCGCGAAAAGCTTCAGGGATTGACGTCGAGACTGGACTTGGAGGCCACCGAAGACTATCAGGTGATTACACTATTGCCACTCATTTAGATTGACATCTATTTTACAAACATTAATACAACAGTTTATTTGAATTATTGACTTTTTTTACATTATTTTGCTTTACATTTAGTTTTATTGTGTTTATTTTATCAATCGGTTTTCATGTAAAGCTGTAATAATATGCTTTTTACAGATACTATATACTTTGTATAAAGATATTTTGTTTTATAAAAATTATTTGAGCTCTAGTGTAAATATTTTCCTATTTGATTGATTTGTTTAATATTTTAATGTAAAAGTAATTTTTAAAGCGAAATCAATAGTTTTTGTTTATGATAAATATATTAATACTTTTTCCTCTGTTTATAATAACGAGTTTTTGAGAAAATGTAATCTTTTTTCAATTATTTGGTTTCTATAATATCTGAGACAAGATATGAGTTCACAAATAATATATATAAGAATTTTTCGCGCTTTATCTCAAATATTGACTGTTGTTATACTAAACCTATTTTATAGCTTTGAGAATAAATTCCACACAAAATAAAATTATCTCAAACTTCTCTCTCTCTCTCTCTCTCTCTCTCTCTCTCTCTCTCTCTCTTACTGTAGAATTTTCTATAGAATTACTCTTTTTTTCTTCAAAATAAAAGTAAATACTTAGAGGTTTCAAAAGTTTCAAAAATAAATTCTTTGAAAAGCTTTCGTTTCGTATATATCTTATATATAATCCTATAATTTTTGTTTGCATACAATCTTCTACATAATATAGTGTACTGTAAGTCTGTTTTCTTATTTCATATCACATACAGTGTATACACTATTTAATGAGAAGTGAAAATGTCATAATTGCCCCTTAAATGACACTTCTCAGCACTATTGCACCAATATGTTTGAGATGCCAGTGACTGGTAATTGCAGTGCAGGGGAAGTCTGGTTTCGCTTCTCCACTCAATTGATTTCAAATTATTGAATCACTTTTTAATTCAAACGATAGTATATAATACGAGTTTAAACACTCCGAGCATTCATTTGTCCGTTCAATAGAGCATTGATTTTCAATAGAGATCTCTTGATTAGAGTCTAAATAATGCTGTAATTATTGTTTGCATTCATTGTGTGTTTGATGTCTTACAGGATTTGTGTCGACAGCGTATGCAAAGCAAGTCTAATGAGAAACAGGAGCCAATCCAAGTGACGCCCACTGCGGGCACTGGCGTTCACTCGGGCAAACTGGTGAGCAAACTGTCCCAGTCTAGTGATGGGGCACAGGCCAGCCCTCCCAGCAGGTCCTCCACATCATCCTGGTATGTATGCATTCCTCACATTCATAGCCATATCATGTCATACACACAATCTCATGTCAATTATGTCACAAATTCTAGTTTTTACTCTCATTTTAAATATTTATTTCAAGTCGAGTCGCGCGAATGAAAAAGACTTAATATTAGGTGAGCGCCAGTAGTGTAGCGTTGAATAGGGGGCGAGCATTACAAACAGTTACAGCCATAGGAATTAGTTGTATTACAAGAGCTAATTAGTTTGAGTCACTTATTTTGATGAATAGCTGTTCGCTATATCTGCCATCCCTTCAACCGTATGTCTCAGCTATTAATTGCATATAACGTATAGAGAGGTATAGAGAGAGCACAGGCGAGTCAATCAGTGCGAGAGAAAAGTCAGGCACTGATACACGAAGTGAGAGAAGGCATGGAAACAAAGATTTTTGTGTTCCCTTTAAATACCAGAACATTGAAGGGAACTCGTCTCTCTCTCTCTCTCTCTCTCCCACGACAGAGAGAAAGTGAAAAGCGATTTGAATGCAAAATACTCGCCAAACAACAAAAAACTTTTACTATTTTTCTATTGCCACTGCCTTTATGTCTTTGGAGCGACGAAAAAGGAAAGGCATTCTTAGCATCCTTTCGCCCTTAACTTCTAATATAATATCAGAGATTGTATACAAATATATAATAGTTTGTATAGAAATAGCGTTTTTTGTAGTTTTATAAGCAATTTGCGAAGAAAGAGAAACTGTTTCAACAGTTAAGACAACATTGCGTTGGACTCCCAATGTTTGTCATTCGCTGATTTGATCCCCAGATGTATCGGTTCCCAAACACAATCATCAATTCATCTGAGAATCAAATAAAAGCAATACTTTGGCTCACATTTTAATGTAAATTCTCCCCTCTCTTCCTCGCAAATGCACTCAAAGCTTGTCTGTATGTATGGTATATATGGCAGCACTCGCTCTCTCCCCGCGCTTAACGGACACTACGAGACAGCGCTAATGCTTTATGTCTTTCTTATATGGAAATGGTTTTAAAATATTATAATTTTATTGAAATATGAACTCATGTTTTATGGCAATGTCTTTTGCTTAAGAAATTAATTTTTAGGATTAGATAAGTTGTGAATGAAAATTGTTTTCCATGTAGACTCTCATATGAATTCAATTTCGTCTTTCACTTTCTCTCTCTCCTTAAGGTTTCGTTTGATTTATAATAACCTAAATCTAAATTCATTGTAAATATAGTGGAAACAGAATTATTTATATAAATTTAGAATTCATTGAAAACTATATACAATGTAAGCTTATTTCTTAACTACTCGTGACAACTGCTTATTATAACCGAGTCATTAATTTTTAAAAATATGATAAACACTATAATATACAATATAAAAAATTGACGACAATTCCTCGCAATATATACAATGTAAGCTTATTTCTTAACTACTCGTGACAACTGCTTATTATAACCGAGTCATTAATTTTTAAAAATATGATAAACACTATAATATACAATATAAAAAATTGACGACAATTCCTCGCATGAAAATAATTGAATGCATTCTCTGTAGACATCATCAATAAAATAGTTTTTTTGTATTTTTCTGTAGTTTTTGCTTTTATTATCCAATACTTTAAGTGATTTCGCTACTAAAGGATTGGATAATAAAAAGGAAAGTTTGTGAAAAAATAATTGATAAGTGAGTGAAAGCGAGTAAATGAATAAATAGTATAAGTAGTGGCGTTTGAGTGGGAATTGAGTCAATTTGACTTATGTGTCAATATATACAGTATATATCGGTGTGTACTGCGAGGCCATTACATCCACCCGTAAAGTAAACTCCTGGTCAGAGATAAATTGATGGCCAATAATGTCTAAATAGTATAATACAGTAATAGTGGCGCACATATAGAGTATGTGGTGCTTATGGCGCACGTAATAATCTGTCCACTTCTCCATTACAAGACAAATATTTGTTGTTTCTCTGGCTTCGCCTTTATCTCGAGTCGACGACTACCACCACCACTACCACTGGGTTTCGTGTTTGGCGTTTATGCGCTTCAAAACTCAAATAAAAAGCAAATGAGTGTCCATTGAGAGGACAAGATAACGGTGCGATAGACGAGAACATTAAAGATTAATGCCATACAACACACACACAGCAATAGATCCATACATTTGGCCATAAAATAGTGATATAAGAAGTTTTTGGGCCAACTCTGCGCTAACTATAAGTTGTTTGAACTGAAAGCCTATTCTTAAATAGCATATAAGACTCGACAATATTGCGTTCAATTATTTTAATATTATTGAAGCTATGATACAATATTACAGTATATGGTATGCGTTAGTACTGTATATTATAATGTCATAGATTTAGTGTCGAGAGTAGAAGGATAGACATCTCCTCTCGTTTGAAATACACATTTATATTGATTGCAACTTAAATATGCTTTTAATGTTAATGTCGTTTTCAATGATAATCTTATGTCTGTTTTCGATACATAAATATTAAGACAAATCCATTACTGCAAAAGAGATCCAATAATACGTGAAATTTTTTCAAACTTATATAATATGACTAATTCTATGTACAGTGCAGTTGCTGTTGAGGCACTGCTCAGTACACTGAGAGACTACTAAACAAATCTCAAATCTTTTTTTATATAATATTTATTTATTTTTCATTTGTTTCCTTAGATTACATTTACTGTTATATATATCGCAGATAATCCTCTTTTTGCAAATAAAATATCATTTATTTTCTTATCATTTATTTAAGATCTCATTCGATAAGACATTTTGGGTTACATTTAGACATGAGAATAAATTATTGAAATTTAAAAATTGACTTTTGGTCTCTGTTTTGTTAACTCTTAATGAATATGAGTTTATTGTGTATAACAGGAGTGAGGAACCTGTGGCTTCAAACATGGATATCTCGACCGGACATATAATTTTGGTGAGTTTGTCAGACAAGTGTTGTGAGCACTACTCGCCTGTCATCACACTTGACACTCATTTTAATTAAATCCGAGACTAATGTCATAATAATTATACGACAACTGCTTGTTTCCAGTCCTATATGGAAGACCATCTGAAGAAAAAGGATCGTCTGGAGAGGGAATGGGAGGCGCTGTGCGCTTACGAGGCCGACCCCTGTTCTACAACAGCGGCCGGTGTGCCAGAAAATGCTAAGAAAAATCGTTACCCCGATACCTTGCCGTACGATCACTCCCGGGTCATCCTCAACGACTTGGCCAACATTTCCGGCTCTGATTATATCAACGCTAATACTATCGTATGAATTATTTTTTGCAATCATTTTCTTACAGTTTCTTACAGCGATTCTTACAGTGCTTTCAATGAGTCTTGTTTTACGCGCCACTTGTCACTCAATCACTCAAATGAAAATCCAATTTCTTTTAAAAGCTTATAAATCACTTTATTTCTAATTTATTTACAAGTATTTAATACCTTAAAAAAATATTTTATAAATAAAACGAGTTTTTAATGTAGTTCTAAACTATAAGTGGATTTCATGCAATGAATAAGAAATGATGTTTTGGTATTAAATTTAACGCAAATTGCATTTTCATTGTACTTATCTGTGTATTAGACGGATCACGACCCCAGAAACCCGGCTTATATTGCAACACAAGGACCCCTTCCACAGACAGCCCCCGACTTCTGGCAGGTATGCCTATCGCGTTACCAATGATTTCTCTCGCATACCGCGACTGTGTGTGGGCTTCGTATGTATGAATGGGTATTAAAATATGTGCACTTCATTGCAGATGGTATGGGAGCAAGGTAGTGTCATAATAGTCATGTTGACCCGACTCATGGAGAACGGTGTGGCGATGTGTCACCGGTATTGGCCTGAAGAAGGCAGCGAACTCTACCACAACTATGAGGTGCATCTGGTGTCTGAGCACATCTGGTGCGACGACTATCTCGTGAGGAGTTTCTATCTGAAGAACCTGAAGACCAGCGAAACCCGTACAGTGACTCAGTTCCACTTCCTGTCGTGGCCCGAGAATGGAGTTCCTCCCAACGCTAAGGCCATACTTGAGTTCAGGAGGTGAGCGCCTGTCTCCTCGCATCTCACTATCATTATCAATGTCTCTCACTATCTGTCTGTCTGTCTCCTCATCTCATTTGTTGCACTAATTTGTTTCAACAGATTTTATCTCTACTCCACTTATCCCTAACTTATTTCTATTTAATCACTGGTCGATTGATGCGTTTCTATGAGCACATACCAGTGCTCTCTCTCTCTCTCACTCTTTTACTCTCTCTCCCCCTCTTTCCCACTCTATTCTTAATACAATGTAAACACTGGGAGAAAATCTAATGCTTTTATTCTTAATTTATGAGTCTTTTCATTAAGTTTTATACGGAATTCTTGTTGTGATATAAGAAACTAATTAAAAAAGAGTAGAGAATTGATTGACTGTTTGTTGGACTCAACAAAAAAGAGACAAACTTTGATCTGATCCGTGGTCTGTGCTGATCGTTGCCGGTCGTGCTTTCGGTTGACTACCAGCGCCTGATGGCCAGACAACTAACTGCGCTACTCTACTGTACTAACAACTCTGTGGCATTGGTCATCATTTTTGTGATTGGTGCAATTGCGGCCATGAATCGCGATTTTAATTGCATAGTCACAAAAGTGATGGCTATGTCTCAGTCCTATCACCGCTTTCTCTCTGTCTCTATCTCTGTCTATCATTCATGCCTTTCGACTTCAATTCAATACTCTGTTTCATCGATTCATTAATACTTTGCGCATTCAAACAAATCACACACCAAATATTTACTGACTATTTTAATTGATTATAATATTATATTTACCATAACATATTTACTAAATGAATAATGGTTTGCATTTTAATTTGCAGGAAAGTGAACAAGTCTTATAGGGGCCGGTCGTGTCCTATCGTAACGCATTGCAGGTAATTATTGATACATGTGTTCAATACAATGAATTGCAAATTAAATACCTGTGGTATCGTCCGGTTCTGTGCGGCAGTGACGGAACTGGTCGGACGGGCACCTATACGCTGATTGACATGGTGTTGAACCGTATGTCTAAGGGGGCCAAAGAGATCGACATCGCGGCCACTTTGGAGCACATCCGCGACCAACGTATGGGAATGGTTCAGACGAAGGCTCAGTTCGAGTACGTGCTGACAGCTGTGGCCGAGGAGGTTCAGGCCATCTTAAAGGCATTGCAACAGAACTGAATGCCATAGACAGCCACTGACAGCCCCAACACATACACACACCACCCATACAACAACTACACAACTATTTATTATATAACCACAAATACAACCATTCAATCCCACGGCTGACAAATAATGTTCATATTTTGTTTGAATGCTTTCTATTATTCTTTTATGAATATCTATTCAAAACAAATTAAGTTATATTTTTCTAATGTTAGCCACGATTCTCGTTTCTCTCAGTCTCTCACTACTCTCCCTCCCTGTCTCTCACTCCTGTCCACAGCTTTTATGTCTCGTAGCATTTACTTTCAATTCACTTATTTATGAATTATTGAAAGCATTGGAAAATTCAATTTTAGTAACAGATTTTATTTTGAGTAGTGTTTTATTGATCTCATTCTGTAATTCTTGACTTGAGTTTAACTTTTTATTATTTATTTGAATTACAAGAATATGTCGACTCTATATTTATAGATCTTTTAAATAAATTAAAAATACCTCATATTTCAATGAAATACATACTACGAGACGAGACAAACAAGAATTGTTACTGACTTTCAAATCATTATATATAATGTAATCTGAATAATAGTACACAGTATTACTTTTATTTCCCGATATTTTAACCTTAACTGAGTTTCTATAACTCATATCAACTGCTAGTATGTTATGAATGTCTGAATTGAAATTAATAATTACTTTATTTTTAAATTAAATAATAATATCACTGTAAATGCGGAAATAGAAATTATTACTTAAAAAATATTTTTAAATGTATTAATAATCACCAATGGATAGGATCAGAAATTCTCGTTTATAACTATTTTTAATAAAATTTTATAAATTATCCGCAAAAACTTTACTTCTATTTGAGGTCTAAAGCCCATTATTATTTAAAATACAAACTATGATAACATTAAAATTATATTCAAAATTATTTGGTAATAGTTATAAAACAAGAATTTCTAAACAGTATTTGCTTTTGAAATAAAATACCAATTCCTTGAGTAATATATGAAATCTTAGCGAATAAGTGATTTAATAATAAATGAAATCTTATTATATCTCAAATGCTTTATATAATTAATACCAGAGTCTATCACTAATAAATGGTTTTTGAGTAATGATTTCTATTTCCACATAAGCCCTGATCCGTACCCCAAATCTGTATTTTCTATTAATGGGTACGGATTTGGAATTACAGCTTATTTTACAATTTTTCAAATATTTATTGTTTTAAACATTAATAGTGTTTTTGGTGTTAACAACAAATAAAATTCTATAAATTCATTACAAATTTTATGTGTTTGTAAGTTATGGTGAGTTATTCGCAACAAAAACTAAAAGTTATATTTCATTATTATTATTAGTGTTATTAATACTATAAGAGTTAGCCAATATATATATTTACTAGTACTAAATCATTTAAGCTTTTATTTATGAGACGGGTCATCTCAGAGAAAAAAACATAATCTGAAAATCCAATTCCTAGCGATTAGGGCAATGGTTGCGGACAATGATGTGTAGTGTCTGTGATGTCCGCGACTACTGTGTTGTGAAACAAACATTTATTATACATTCAAATGACCCAAAAACTGGAGCACTCACTGATGGCTACAATAAATAAAAGTATTGCATCTCTTATATTATATTTTGCTATAATCTGACGATAAATATAATTTCCAAAATCAATACAATTGATAAATGCCTTTCCAGTTGACGCGACAAATGACACATAGGTTTTTGTCATCGATTTAATCAAATTGTGTTTTTGTTTGTTATGACTTTTTTATGTTTTAATTGTAAAACATTGTAATTAACAAAATTATTTATTATAACAAAAATAATTTATTAACGTTTGATTTATGGATAAATTTTATTGATACAAATAATGAATATTTTGGCCAAACAAACAAAACAAATGGCAAATGATATCACTTATTATGCTATGATTTTAAGCACAAATTGTTATACTTATATAAAGTTTATTGTATTGAAATACTTCTAACAAATTAATTTTTTTAGTTGTAAAAAACAATTATATCAATCAAAACTACTATTTATTATAACAAATGAATGTAACATTTATTTCGCATTTAATTTACTCCCATTTGATGTATCGATTAATGTATGAGAAACTGATTGACATTTACTTATATTCATAGTATTATAATATTCTCTTCAAACATCATTTATTATAACATGTTTTGTCTCTAAATTGACTTATCATTAAAGAATATATCATTTCTTTTTGTGTTGACCTCAAATAAAAGTAGAGTTTAATGTCTTTTTGTTGAAATCAATTGTCTTTAATTTAATCAATCGATGCAACCGTTTGAATATTTGAGGCACAATTCAAACTCCCATTTAAATGCAGTATTCATGGCATCAATAATATGGACAACACGTATAAGCGAGTCATTGCACACTATTTGACTTGATTTGTATGCCAACACTAATTAGATTGCAAATCAAATGTCAATAATAGTTGTGAGATTGGATTTGCTAAAAATGTAGTGAAAGTATTGTCGCTTGCTTGCGCTAAATGGCAATGAATAGTGAATAGTGATCCACTAAATCATTCAAATACAAAGTAAATTCTTAGTGTTCACAGACTTTAACCCATGAAATAAGATAATCTATATGTTTTGGCTATAACTGGATATTACTAAAACAATGTATAATATTTGATGTATGATATAATTAAATTGTAATTTGGCATTTAGTTAGATAATATTTACATAACAATTTAGTATAATAACTTATTCTAACAACCTTGTATAAATATCTCATATCTGTGAGAGGGATACGAAAGGATACAACTCTGATTTAATATGACTGCTGTAATATAATAGTGTTAGACAGTAACACAATAATGTACATTTTTATATAAAAGCAAAGTTGAGAGGTCTCTTTCATATTGTTCCCGCAAAGATTAGAATCAGTATATAATGAGTATATTTTAAAGATATTACAACAACTTTGCCCATTGCTCGACCAAAATATTAAGTTATGTGACCCAACATACTTGTAAGCAGTAAAAAGTTTATTCTGATTATATAAATATGTTTAGCAACAAGGATTCAATCAATACCATTTTTAATTATTAATATTTAATATACAATCATGTTTGAGTATCTGCTTTCGGAAATCACATAACATTTTAAGAGTATAAAGTTGATATTTAACTTATGTTTTTTTTGTCTATACATTGGGCTCCTATTAAGAAAAGTTTACAATTTAAAATAAACCAAAATTTAAAATAATTTATAACCGATTCTATTAATATTAATGATTAATACTTAGAATTATGTTTACATTTAGAATATAAATAAAATATTAATGTTAGGAGTCATTCACAAAATACATACACACCATGACAATATTAGAAATACGAATATCTTATAACAGGGACACATTCCTACATGTAACAATATGTGCGGTACAATGGTGATAACAAGAATGGGACTTATTATTGACAATTTTTTGGATACGTACTTTTGTGAATGTCGTTTTAATAATTTTTATAAGCTCAATTTACGGGACATAAGCTTATATTTCTATCCTAATTATATAATATTACATTAATGTTGTTATTTCGGTAATAAAAGTTTATATGCGTATATAATATAACATATAAAAAAATTTGATGTAGGATACAAACTTTTATAAAGTTAGTTGTGTATAGATAATTTTAAAATAAAGTTTATAATTTTAATGAAACTCATTGGATATTTGTGTAATTTCAATATTAACATCAGGTAAAACATATTTTTGATTAATTAATAGTTTTTTGACTCATTGTAATTGATATTAAATTAGATTATTGAAACATCAAAAGATCGAAATTTAACTAAAAGGTGAAGTAAATTTGGGTATCAATATAAGTTCTTAAATTAATTTCTTATACATACTCACATGCCGTACCTCTGTATAAATAATATATTACAAACTTTTTAAACTTTTTATTAAATTATTTATTATCGTAATTACCAAAATGAAATTGGGAGTTAAGCATTTAAACTTTCTTTAACCATTGCTTCATAGCGTTTAGCCATATTTAATGAGTATTACCAGACAAATATTAATGAAAGTTACCTATTAACATATATTCCGTTATAATTATAAAAACATGAAGTGTACATTTCGTTTTGACGCTCCAGATATATAATATGAATCAAATCGACCATTTTGTTGTTGTCGTTGAGATATGGCTTCAGTTTTCTTAATAAATAAATTATTTCTTTCATTTGCTTTCATTGAAATTCTTAAGATTTGATTCATTGAAAGGTTTCCGAGTGTGGACTCAGGCGTTAACACAGCGTTAGTATTCATGAGAAACTTTTTATTCCTCAAAAAGTCATTTATTTCTACCAAAAATATTTATTACTTTTAATAGAAAATTTTAAATTGTAATTTTTAGAAATATAACTTTTATAATGAATTTTCTAGGATTTTGATAGAAATGCACTTAATTTTGTTGGAGATCTAATTTTTCATCAATCAGAAACTATCAATAGAAATATTTGCTTTAAAATTATATCAATAAACTGGTATAATAAATATAACCCTCATAACCTTAAATGTCAATTTGATATCATCAAAACATTTTAGAAAGTTTTCAATGATACCGTATATTCCAAATTAAATTCTTATTTATTTGTGCATGATAGATTAAAACGAATTTCATGTATACTACTGTGACAAATGCAAGTACGGTAGTTTTAAAATGTCACATTTTAGCCACTAAAGTATCTATATCAGTATGTAGCATCTTGGCCACTATTGACCATATTACAACATTTGTAATCCCATTTTCAAAACTCTTACACAAATATAATTATATATAAATGGGGTGGACAATTATTTAAGGAGCAATACTTTTTATAAATACTTTGACTAATATAAGTTAGCAACAAATCCAAGAATAATGTTATATTTTGAGTAAAAATCTAAAAGGTTATAACTATAAGATCTTTTGTATGATATACTGTATGTGTAAGCAATTAAAATGTTATGACCTTTTTAGATTTTTACTTAAAATGTGAAATTATTCATTTGATTTTTTCCATCATATATATATATTTTATAATTAAAAATATTTTAACAAAATGTGACACAAAATGTTCAGGTCAAATATTGAAATCGAATAACAAATCTTATTATGTTCTTTCCATTATAAAATAGAAATACAAAAAATCAAAATATTTACAATGGTTTTCAAAATAAATCACATTTCATAGTATTTACTTTATAAGCAATTTATATTTATGTAATTTGTTAAAATAGCTCACAAATCAAAAATAAGTTATAGAATTGAATCGATTTTGAATTTCTAACGCCTCAATGAATTTTTAATCAAAATTTATTATTATGTGGACTAACTTTGGGGAGAAATCACATATTTATTGAGTAGAGATAGTGTTGTCATAATTTTATGGAAACCAAACCCATTGAATAAACTGTTATTGGCTTAAAATTTATAGATTATTGCTTTTTTATTTAAACTAATATTTTTATACAAAAACTATTTTATGAATTACTATTGTGTTTGTGTTGTCTGGGAAAAGTTTAGTTATGTATAACAAAATGTATAAAAAATTTTGTTTTAATCCATTTATTTATTTCATATGTTGTTGACCTGTATTTTGAACATTTTGTTATAAAACTTTTAGAAATTGACGAACTTTTGATGCAAATGATGGTTTGGTTTTGAATATTTTAGAGTTGACAAACATGTGTGACTGTCCACCTAAACATACCGGTGCTTGTGCACACTGCTGCGATAGGTGACTGTTAGTTACGGAATATATTTGATGGTAACTTCAGTCGCCCTTCTCAGTGATGTGTTCAAGAATATGGCATCAATTTCCCAATTACTACTACAGTACGGTATTGTAGTAATTCTATATGTTTAATTCTATATTTAAATTGTGTCATGCTCAAATTTTGAAATTATTATTTATCTTAATTGATCATTTTTGATTGTTTTGTATTTTGTGAAAGAATTTGGAGACATTTGTGAAATTTATATTAGAGAAACACGTGTGATGGTGAAAATGATTGTGCTCACAAATACCGAAGTTGAGAATATTGAACATTTTCTTCTCCTATATGTTTAATTACTTTGAAATGTAATACTAAAATGATCTTTATTATTGTTTCTTTCTAACAATATCATATTCTGGAATTTAGTATGCTATTAAATAACGTAATCAACGATTATGTTATAAAGTGAAAATGCTATATTTGACGAGTGACATAAATATCATTTTTAATGTGAGTTTGTGTGTATCTTAGGAAAGTAGCAATAATATAATATATTAATGTTTAAAATGTATTTTTAAATAATCATTTTCACTTTGTGTAATATAATAAGCAAAAATATCGTTCACAAAATTTATATGAATAGAAATTTGGCAGTGGAAGATTTAACTAGCATGTTATGATCAATTTATAACTTCTCAAAATAAATGAGCATGATACTATGTGAAGTTATTGTATAATTAAAAATATTCATTTTTAATATCGCTTTTAATCGGTTTTAATAATAATTATTTTAATAGTAAATTATTTGCAATTTTAATGTAATAATATTATTCCATTATAATAGAGTAAAAATCTGCATATAACGGTATAATGAATAAGGTATATTTATTAATTAATGTGGAATATTTATTAATCTTATGAGGGTACATTCATTTTCAAATATTAGTCAAAATTAACGTCAATAAGATAAAAATTTTGCATATTGTATACACCGGTAAGAATGTTTATTTTGATTTTTATTATCATCAATAAATACAACAAATAAATGACTTTTTTATAACATTAATCGATGACAGGAATGCAAAATACAATTCAAGTCAATAATATGTAATGTATTTGATTTTGGGGTACATACAAAGTTAATATATATTTTATATATTTATACATCAAATCTCGAAATGACAACAATTTTAATAAATAATCGCATTTATAAATATTTGAGATTTTAAATCAATGTAATCAAAACAAAATCACATTAAATTGGAAATATTGTCATAAAATGTGCTCAAAATATCGATAAAAATCAAATATAATTTTACAAATCAATTGATTAATAGATTTAAATATTGAATAGATTCTCGCAAAACAAGCGACAAAATAGAGATTAGTTGTGAACACAACTCAAGTGTCAATGAAATGGTGAAATCAATTCAAAGACGATGTCTCGTCGTTTTGCAGCTGAAGCGCCTGCTCTTCCGGAAGTGGTCGGCGCCTGAACTGAGTGTTTGACACAAGAAACACAATGACCGCCACAAACAATAGCACACTTATGCCCAACAGATTGATCACATAAGCAGCACCGGGAAAGTCCTTATAATATGGATTAGGACCCTTTCCATCCCTGTAATAATAATTTATAATACGGTCAATATTTTAAATGTGTCTCTAATTAAGAGTTTTATAATTACAGAGAGAAGAACGCCTTTTCGGTGATTCCTAGGAGAGCGGTGCCGCCGATCATCACGAACAGCATGAGTCCAATGTAGGTGTGATAGGGAAGTATTAATCGCCGGTAAGTGGGACTGAGACCGGGAAACATGAACGATACGAAGCCCAGAGCGTACTGTCCCGTGAATAACAACATTGTCAGCGCCCCGACCCAACTGTGCAGTGAATACAGGTTCGGTATATTCTGGTTGGAGTGGTAGCGAAACACAGCCCACGAGCCCAACAGAGCCAATACCAGCGCCGACCCATTGAGGACGGCGTGCATTATCTTCAATAACTTCTTGCGTTCGTTGCGTAGCACCCGATACACGAGAATAGCTGTCAAAATGGTATCACATTTTGAAATAAGTTATCGTTTTTAGTAATAAAATCTAATGATGTATGAATCAAACGATACAAATGTATATATAAATTGACAATTATTCACTGCAATAGTGATTATAATTCAATTATGACAACTGATAGTTCATTATAATTGTCAATACAGTTAATATGAAAGGGAAAGGCGTGTAATACCGTCGCCGAAGATGAATACCATTCCTAACGTCATGAACAACGGGTGAAAGTTAAACAATTGGCTGTGATTTGGGAATCAAATGAAATGGTGAGACAATTGTTATGATCATGTGTGCGACTATCATACCTATCGGTGGCGAAGCCGATTCCTCCCAAGTATTTCGAGATCCAGACGCTCACCAAAACGATGATAAAGAGGCCCAACACTTGCGATACGATGAAACCGGCGAAGAAGTTGCCGACGTTAGCCATCCCTAAGCCATCGTTGCGGGCACTGCTCTCGTACTCCATCAGCAATGGTCTCTTTGACTGCCACTCACCCCACGAGTGATGATCTTCGGCTACAGACACGTGACAAACATGACACTAGTATTACTATTGGGCTATACATTGACGGCTCAATTGAGTTACAATTGTTGTCATCGCTATCGGCAGGCATTTCATGGCATTTGTATTGACAGCAAACTTATAATCAATGGATTTGTGGTTATTATGTGTCAACTCAATGCAAATGAAACCGTATTTCAAACACAACTGTCAGTCAATTGAGTGGCAAATATGTGTCCAATGGGTTCAGTGTATAGCGAAGTGCTGTGCAGTTAAGTGTCATTTAATTGTTGTTTCACTCAATCATTAAACATATGTTTTGTGACACAATATTGCCGTCAATTCACTCAATACATGCCCAATGCTAGTGATTGTATTACTTAATGTGTGCTTACCTTTAATCCGGGTTTAATACAATATGTTGCGATCAGTTTGTGTTGGGATTTGTATTTAACTTGCTAATATATTTCGATCTAGCTAATGTACAGTTTCTGCCTATTGAACTACTTGTTTACCAGTAAAACACATATTTAAGGTAAATGTCATTCAATGTAATGAGTGCTCGCATGCGTTCATCACTCATACTATTGTGATAAGCATTTCACTATACGATCATAAATTATTGTATAATAAATATAATATTCATTTTGTATTCATTATTTTGTTACATGATTGCCTTTTATGTGTTAATTAATAATAAAAAATGCATTTTTACTAATTATGTGAATCCGTATAAAAGCAATTAATTTATAACATAACGCAAGTAATAGTGAATAGTATGAGAAACAAGGCGTTTAAATAAAGTGTCGCTAATTAATGATTTAAATATAGTAAGCGTTTAGAAATTGTTTGCCAATGGATTTGATATAAAACTTTATAAAACAAATAAATTTAATCATTTGTGAGATAACATGTTATGCAAATATAAAATAGCTTTAGCCTTGAACAGTTGTCAACAGTTATAGACAGGGTTGTTTGCGTATACCCTGCCAATAATAGTTAGGCCTGATATCACTCGCGGACTCTATTATTAGTAAATGATTAAATGAAATAAACTGTCATTCAATTGGATAAATGCTGAATTTCAAGTTTATTAATAATTTATAAGATTTTTCATAATGCCACTCAAACATATAATTAAGTGTTTTTTGTTTTTTAGTACTCGTCTCTTACTAGTTAATGGATAGAAATTTTCAAAATAATTATCCTTAATATAAATACCAGACACAAATTATATCAGGCGTTATATCAGTTTTAAACTGTGTGTGTGACTGATAATCAAAGTTTAAAGTACTATTTGTACGTACTATTTTAAAGTATAAAGTTTATTGTTATTTGTAATTATTCTCGCAAACTTTGTAATGATTTGATAAGTCATCTAAACATTGATATATGAATACATTGTATAAACTGCTATATTGGGTGTTTGCGTTAAAACAATAAAACAATACAAACAATACTCTATATATGTACTGAATATTGGATATAAATTCTGGATATAAATACAGAATATGAATGAAATTCTTTCGCACTATTGCAGTGAAACGTTATTAATGTTGTCGTGAATGCAAAGGAAAGGACGAGTTAAGGACGAGTTGTCACAGAATTTCACTGCATTTCTATCGCCTATCGCTTTGACTGCCATATAGTGAGCGATAGACTTAAATAGCACTGAATTCTTGCATTTAATCGCAATTTAAACTCATTTATCACTCATTTAAACGGATATAAACTTATGATATATGCTGTGAGAACACGTGTCTATCGTTGATAGTGTTTGCAATGATAGTCTCACTCGGGCTTTGGGTATAAATCAGTGATTCAGTGGTAAAGGAGTAGTGTTTTGGTGCGTCTGTTGGCCACACGTGTCGACACATTTGACAACTAATTGACTCCACATTTGGTGTTATATTTGAGGCAAAGCTCTGCAAAAAAGTCCAGTCTTTGCATCAGATATCCGCAGAACCGCTGATCTTAACCACTGATGAAGAATAAGTGATTATCATTGCATTATCCGCTACAACACACCCCCGAAGACACGCTTCATCGCAATTGATTGCGATTTGTTTGGTTGTTGTGAATCGTGTGAAGACCTAATCCGAAGACAATGTCAACCGATTCCTACGGTTATGAGGCGAAGACTCCGCAGATATTCCGAATGCGGACCCAATCCACAGTCGATGACTGTTCCCTCCCGTTGTCCAAAGAGGGGATTATCCCCACAGAGGGCGGACATGCGAAGGGCAAAGTGATCGCTGTGTTCACCAGCGGTGGTGACTCTCAGGGTATGTATCCATCGATGGTGTCCGCCATCCAAAACAGTGCACACTAAATGAGTTGTGTGTATGGGTTAGGTATGAACGCCGCGGTCAGGGCTGTGGTGCGGATGGGCCTGTATTTGGGATGTCGGGTCTACTTCATCAATGAGGGCTATCAGGGAATGGTTGACGGGGGCGACCATATAGAGGAGGCCACCTGGGTGTCCGTGTCCGGGATCATACATCAGGTCTGCCCTTGTGTTCAGTTATCCGCATACGTATACTGAATGTCATATTTTGTGTGCAAAGGGAGGGACAGTCATAGGCAGCGCCCGGTGCGCCGACTTCCGAGAGCGAGCCGGCCGTCTGAAGGCGGCCCAGAATCTCATCGAACACGACATCACGAATCTGGTGGTGATTGGCGGTGACGGTAGTCTTACCGGCGCTAATCTGTTCCGTCAGGAGTGGTCATCCCTTTTGGACGAGCTCTTGAAAAATGGTTTTAAAAATTATTGATTTACTCTTTCGATCAAATAGTTTGAGGTTTTTATTGATTAAATTTTTAGGACTAATAACTGCCGAGAAGAAGGAGTTGTGTAGTCATCTGCATATCGTAGGAATGGTTGGTTCCATTGATAATGACTTCTGCGGCACAGACATGACCATTGGTACCGATTCAGCGCTCCATCGTATCATTGAATCGATCGACGCTATCGTTACCACCGCTTCCAGGTTTGAGAGACTATAGACTTCTTTAACTAATCACTATTAATACGATTGATTGCGTTGATAGCCATCAGCGCACGTTTATTCTGGAGGTAATGGGCAGACATTGCGGTTATTTAGCATTAGTGGCGGCGCTGGCCAGCGAAGCGGACTTTGTGTTCATTCCTGAGTGGCCTCCAGAAGTCGAGTGGCCTTTAAGACTGTGCCGAAAACTAGAACAGGTTTGTCATACATATCTGTTCTGTTGAGCGTTGTATTGACATAAGCATTGGTGGCACCGGTAGGAGCGAAAAATGGGAAAGCGGTTGAACATCATAATCGTTGCCGAGGGAGCCATCGATCGCGAGGGAAAGGTAGTCACTGCCGAAATGGTGAAGGATGTGATCGTTAAGAGCACGGGTCAGGACACGAGGATCACTGTGTTGGGTCACGTGCAGAGGGGCGGCAGTCCCAGTGCTTTCGATCGGATATTGGGCTGCCGTATGGGTGCCGAAGCCGTGTTGGCCCTCTTGGAGGCCACCCCTGAATCCGAGGCGTGCGTTGTGTCACTGGATGGCAATCAAGCCGTTAGAGTGCCTCTCATGCAATGCGTCGAAAAAGTAGATTTGATTGACATTTGATTCACAAATTGATTAGTTTTTATGAATTAATTGTATGTTTTGTTTGCCATTTGAAGACCAAATCAGTGGCGGCGGCCATGAAAGAGACCAAATGGGAAGAGGCTGTGAAGCTGAGGGGCCGTAGCTTTGAGCGCAACTTAGAGACGTACAAAATGCTGACCCGAATCCGACCGCCAAAGTCGGTGAGCGAAAGCGAGCACAGTTCGGGTGGCTATCGGTTGGCTGTGATGCACGCCGGAGCCCCGTGTTGTGGCATGAATGCCGCCGTCCGCTCCTTCGCCCGTAATGTCATCTTCAGGGGCGACACTGTTCTCGGTATTCACGAGGGAATCGACGGCTTCATCGAAGGGGACATCCGACAGATCGGGTGGACGGAAGTGAGCGGTTGGGTCGGTCAGGGCGGCGCCTTTCTCGGCACCCGACGCACACTTCCCGAGAAGAATATTCCCAAAATAGTGCAACAAATCAAAGAGCACAGGATTCAGGCGCTGCTCGTGATTGGCGGCTTCGAGGCCTACCATTGTGTGCTGCAATTGGCCGAAGCGCGTGTCGATCACCCGGAGCTACGGATTCCCATGTGTGTCATACCGGCAACCATTAGCAATAATATTCCCGGCACTGACTTCTCGTTGGGCGCCGACACAGCGCTCAACGAGATTACGGAGATCTGCGACCGAATCAGACAATCAGCGCAGGGAACTAAGCGTCGGGTGTTTGTCGTGGAGACGATGGGTGGGTATTGCGGTTATTTGGCGACAATGGCCGGACTGGCTGGCGGTGCAGACGCGGCGTACATCTATGAGGAGCCCTTCTCTATTAAGGATCTGATGGGTGATGTGTATCACATGCACTCCAAAATGGCTGAAGGCGTTCAAAGGGGTCTTATACTGAGGTACTGGTTACGGGTGATCATAGGCAGCGCCTGTCTATCAATTAATGGTGTTTTGCGTACAACAGGAATGAAAAGGCGAACGCAAACTACACGACAGACTTCATCTATAGGTTGTACTCAGAGGAGGGGAAAGACATATTCTCGACGCGACACAACATCCTGGGTCATATGCAACAGGGAGGCTCGCCCTCACCCTTTGACCGCAACTTTGGCACCAAAATGGCTGCTAAAGCGGTGGACTGGCTGAACGCACAGCTCAGACTACACACACAGCCAGACTGCTCGGTCGTGTGCTCGGCCCCCGACACGGCTGTGCTGTTAGGTTTGGTGCGCCGACAGTATCGGTTCACTCCGTGCCAAACGTTGAAGTTGGAGACGGACTTCAAGTGAGTTGAGCGACGATATGGTTAAATGCATTGATTTGACCGACATTTCCATTATTCGGTCCATTGATTGCTTATGAAAACGAGGTTTTAGTAGTTTATGATCCCCACTCTCATTCATTGCACCACCGATTGCACCGATTGCCCAATAGTTTGCATCACTCTTTTGATGTGTCTGTCTTTGAATGTTTTCTCATGAATTGCTTTTTTTCATTTGCTTTGAGTTGTCTTTTAAGTTGTGTTATGTTTTGTTTTCACTCTTTATTTTGTGTTTATTCCTACACTTCAGATGTCGTATACCTCGAAATGAATGGTGGCTTCGGTTAAGACCATTACTGCGAGCCCTCGCAACCCCTGTATCCGTTGACTATATCCGCGGCACTGAACCAACGGCTTATGATTTCAAAAGATTATTGGATTCTTAGATCCAGAATCCAATCAATGCAATGATTTAAACAATTATAGCTAATATTTGTTTTGCTCACTATCTTAGAGTATGAAAGCAATAATATATCAATCAATGAATTACTGAAAGTATTATCAATTCCGGTGTTAATCACTAGTAGATGTAATCTCTTGTCTTAATCGTGTGTATACTGTAAGCGTCAAGACAAATCGCAGCCAAAAAACAATCGATTATTTATCAGATTTTAAAGTCCAGTGTTCACTAGTTTTAACCAATCATTGCAACCAAACTATAACTTAAGACTTGTTTGTCCATCACTTTTATAGACATAGAATACCGAAAAGGCAGTGGTATTTGAAATTGCGATCACTTTTGCGCATTTTGGCCAAACATCAGTCCACTTATGATAAGGAGGCACAGGAAGAGTTCGCTGAGGAAGACGACGACGACGAAGACATCTTTGAATAACATTACTGTCCCTAAACTTGCGGCCAATTGTATTGTTCTCCTATTTTGTTATGTTATTTAGGTTTTACTTTAAATATATTTTTTTAAGTTATAGTTTAGTTCAACTCAATACTAAATCTAGTCTACAATTAAGTGATTGAAATCTGATTTATTATACCTTAAGTATACCTTAGGTTTACTTTGAAAACTTTTATCTCAACTATTTTTTTCGTTTTGTCTCTCAAATTGTATACAATTCTAATGACTAATCCATTTTTTAATCGTTAACATCGATTAGTATTGATATATATTTTATGCAAAATATTTTTTATGTAAAATATTTATTATTTAGAACTCAAAGACTCGGTTAATAATTGTGTTATTTTTGGTTCATTTTAAGTGAGATTAATGATTGTGTTGTCATGTGTTTTAAAACTGATTGAATTTTAACTGCAATAAAAGCAAATAATATTTCTTATGTTATCAAATGACATTAATGGTCTTATCACTATATTTGTCTTAATATTGTCATCAACTTAATGTTACCAGTTCAATTAATTAAATAACTTAATTGAGAGCTCATTCAAAGTGGGCGCCAATCGCACCATTAGTTTATTTATTTACCGGTAGATATCGTTACTAAAAATACGGCACTATTTGCGAGACATTCAGTAAAGACGTTGCGATTAGTGGTGAAAAGGAGGTGCGAGTGTGCAGTGCGTGCATTGGGTTGTATGCGCGCAATGGGAGCCCCCCATAGGGACTGGTATGTCGTGATTGATGAGTGAGTGAGGGCTGACTGTCGGACAGGCGACGCAAACAAACGTTTGAAAAAAATGCCAAAATTTTTGTCTTTTGTTTTGTTTTGATTTCCGCATCATTTGAACGACGGTTTCGTTTCGGCACTCATTATACCCTTTGAAAGCAGTTGTTGTCATAAATCGCAACCAAATAATGATCTTCTCGTGGATTTGTGGCGCAAAATGAGTCAATCTGTGAGTCATTTGCAGTTATCATCGCTTCAGCAGACAATCGGACACAACATGGGAATCAACTCAACGCCGGCGCCCGTCGTCGCCGTCAACCAAACGCCGGGCCAGTCGTCGACGACGGGCGGCCCACCGACGGGGGGTGTGTTGGCGGCACCACTCGTGTCGTCGCAGCCGTCATCGGCGGTCAACACCGCGGCCAACGCGACGAACAGCAACCAAACCATCTGTTGTCTCGTTGAGGACCAGCAACGGTGTCACCGCATCGCCGGAAACGCCTCCTATTCCAAGCGGATTGAGAAACAGGTGACACAACGGAAGCTGAGACTCACTTTGGATCAGAGATCCAACCACTCGTACATCTGTGAGCACCACAAACAGATGATCCAATCCATGAGGACTTCCAATAAGCGCAAGCGTAAGGACTCGGATGACGACAATGAGATGGTTATCGATACGGACGGACATACGGGTGGTGGCGCTCACGACGTGGACCTACAGGCGCTTCAAGTGAACACTTTGAGGCGGTATAAGAAGCACTACCGCATCCAAACCCGGCCCGGGATTAATAAATCACAATTGGCTGAGGTTTGTATGACTCACACATTCACAGCACTCTCTGTATGTTTGTCTCATTGTATTGATATTGTGGGCAATATATCCGATAAACTGCATCCAACTGTCAATTACTTCAATATTATACAAATTATGAAAGCTATGAGTGAATTGAAAATGAGCCACAAATAGTGATCAATAAATTAGACTTAACTCTCAACCGATAATAAAGACTTTGAAAAACTTGTGACTACTTTACTGTTACCGTAGTACGCAAACCAAACACTCAATGTTTGATGACTCATGTAAATGACCGTGGTCATTTAGTGACAGTTGATATATTGCTCACAAATTGAACGCCAATTATGAGAACACATACATTTGATGCGCTTTTGTTGTACCAGTAATTCATGTGTTGTTCCCAATTGGCAGACACTTCAGCGACACTTCAAATCGATGCCGATCTACGAGAAGGAGGCCATCACTTACTTCATATATATGGTTAAGTGTAATAAAAACAAATTGGATCACAACAGCACCGGCGCCGCCAAACACACGGCATTGGCCTCCGACTGACTAACAGCCGCCGGTCCCCCACCTATCGCACCCATAGCCCACTAAATCGACACTTCATTTCTTCTCACATGAATTCTTCAGCTATCGGTTCGCCTCTTGACTTGAGATCGCTTTTCATTATAAATATATTTTTATGTTTTTAAAAGCGAACTCCAATTATAAGACATTTATTCTTAAGTTTATAATTAATATTAAATTTTATTAATTGATTTATTGATATATACTTTTTTTTGAATCACTCATTATTTTGTCTCATTTTTATCGTTAAATAAAACTTATTAAACGATTGGAAACTGTTTGGTATTTTTATGATCTCTCATTACATTAATAACTTGATCGCACCGTCGGTTGTGGACCCATATCTAGCTCATAGAAAGGACTTACAGTACAGTACACAGCGATTGTGTATTTAATGGTAAGTGAATGCAATATAGTGTATCAGAAATTGAAGCAATTAAACCAATTATGTAGCATTTAGAGAGTGTATTATATGGCATTTAAGAGATTATATTCACGACTTAATGGTAACACGGATTCAGTGCACAGAACTGACTTATATGTGAGCAATAAATGCATAATTAATGATACATTTAATGAAACAATTGATTGCATATAGAGTTGAGAGCCGTTTGCAGTCAACAGATGGCAGTGAATGCGAGCATTGAGTGAACACTCATTCAAAGTGTTTAGTCATTGAGTGAACAGTGAATCCAATTGTCAATTGTTTTGAGCGCTTATTGTCCGTCAAATCGGTGACCAAATTCAGTGATCAGTCATGTCTTTGCCGACCAAAGCTCAACGACTCACTCAGGAGTCTGTTTGTGGCCCTGATATGAAGGACAAGCCGTTGAACGCCGAGAATCCTATCCTCATAAACGGGTATTTCGTTGCCATTTGACTGTCCGTCCAATTGGTCTAACATTTGATTGTCATTTGGTTTGTCTTTGCGGACGACTCTTAGCTTCCAATCCATACGACAACAAGTGGTGGGAAGGCATCCGTTGGAGGCGTTGGACAAGACGTACGGCCAGCGCGTGGAGGCCCAGCAGTTCCGGGCGTTGCAGTCGATTCAAGGCATTCACGCGCCCCTCAGACTCATCCACGAGCGCAGGGCTGCCCAACAGGTGCACCGACTGCCGGGTCTTCACTCGTCTCACGTGATGTTGGATGTGCTGACCGGTAGAGACGAGGAGATCGGCCCACAAGACTTCCTCAACGGTACGAATCGCTCGCTTATTATGGATACTGTTTTTGTGCTTAATATTGAGTTTAATTGCATTTAAATTGAGTTTTAATTGTATTTTTGTGTTGTCTTTGCCTTGGGATCAGATGTGAGCGAACACATGGAGGTGATGGCACCCATTCATATGCTCTGCGAGCGACAGTTTCATATCAACTGATTTCGTACGGTTTAAGTAGTGAACGGCACACCAAACGAAAGTCTGAATTGGATTTTAATTTCATTGAAATGTAAAAACAAAAATAAAATAAAATGCTTTTTCTTACAAATTAATTAGATTTTCATATCTATTTTATATGTAATTCCTGTTTTCCACTGAAAAGCAAAAGTATTTTTTGACATTGACTTTGGATTTGTAATACCGGTGCTTTTAAAAATTAAATTTTTATTGCTATTAATGAGATTTATTTTTTTTGTCGGTAACCAGGATAAAGGGCTTATATTTTACGTTAAATTAAGTTTAAGCTTTTGATATAGTGTTCAATTTATAAGCACTGGTAACCTATATTTTTAAGAATATAACTTTATTCTATAAATTACCTATCATACCAGTAATAAGCAAGGGTCAGTATTGAATAACATTAATTTGTGGCTCACATTCTATGCATTTTTTAGATTAATTACCGGCAATTTTATTCTGTAATGAATGCCTTATATTGTATTTCATAGGCAACATCATTGTAAATAATTATTTAAATATTGTGAAAACTTTTGAAACCAAAACCTTTATAGGTTCTTATTTATTTGAAGTACTGTAGTTAGACATGTTCTAACTGTTTGGCACACTTTGTTGTAATAATTTAAAGTTTTGGGTTTTATCAGGTGTTATAAATCCCGGAACTCGTTTCACTTTTAGTTTGATTGACTTTTACTGTAATTTTAAATGTATTGAATCAATTGAACATGTTCTCAGTTTTAAATATTTGATATACTTTAGGTATTTGAAGTGCATTTAAGATGTGCTCGCAATGTATCTAAAGTCAGTGTCTCTCAGAGTCAACACTTGATGTGTCCTACAGTTTATTTTTAATATACAGTATATTCTAAGTTTATGTTATTTACTGAGACTTAAGTTAACTATATAAAGTTAGTGTTAACAGCATATTGTCAACGATGAACAAGGTATTGAATTGTAATATTGAAGTGGTGGCGAACCTCTTCCTCTTACCTTTGACCGCGTCTACCATTCAATCCTTCCTTCATACCGTCCAATGAGTCGTCATATTTACAAGTTTTATAACATAATAGGCATTTCGTAAACAAGGTATGAATTTCTTATTAGACTAGACATGAATCGCAAAATTACCAGGTGTGCCATACAGTACTAGCAATGATAAAACTTTGAACATTTTAACATTAGTCAGTATGGAGATTCAATAGACTCTCATCTATATAATGTTGGATATTCTGGACAAATGTATTAAATATCAGTAGAATTAGCTTTAAATAAAATTTGATTGTCAATTCATTATTTCTTAATTAAAATTGTATTTATTGAACAAATAATCATTTAATGAATACAATACTAAAATACTGAATAACTACTTATATTAAATATTATATAGTTATATAAAATTCTCAAATGAAATAATATTTGAATACATTAATTAATTATTATAATATAATTATTTTTTGTTTAGATTTGTTTTATAATAACAACCATTTGATTGGAATTTTCAAATATTCAAAACGAATTATAATGAAAACGAAACTTAAGTTTTAATTCCAACACTTATAAAACAATTACTAAATTATTAATTACAGTATTTATTTGTCGAGCCCTCGCCACCCGAACAATAATATTCAATTGATTTGTTGCAATCCTTAGCCATTCATAGAGTATTGCATTTTGTTTTATATAATTCCAAACAAATTGTTTATAATTTAAAAATTCTTATAATGTTTTCCTATATTTTATTTATTTTTAATATATTTTCGTAGTTTTTAAGAATTGGTCTCTTCTGTGGACTAATGTGAGGAATGATAGATATTTTGAGCAAATGATAAAACAGTTGTCGTATTAACAAAAGTTTCTATCATTTATTTGTATATATATTATACACGAGTTGCCAAAAGGGGTTTCGTAACAAATTAATCTCTTGTTAATTTGGGGTAAATTTGTTAAATTATCCAAATATTGTCTATAATTTCTTTATAAGTTTTATAATAATTGATTGATTGTTATAATGCTGTTTTTTGGTAAGAATTTGATAGAAAATTATGGCTTTATATGACTTGGAAACACGTGTATTGGAATGAACTTAAGAATTTAAATATAACTCAAACGATTTAATTGTTATTAGTTTATATTCTACTCTATTTAAATATATAAATATTAAGAATTAATAAGATTTAAGTAAACTTTTATAATAAACAACATTACAATTAATAAATGATGAATATCTAATGAGATTCTATAGTTTGGGAAATGTGTGATGTTTTCTGTATCAAAATAATTATTTTTTATATTCGTTATCAGGAAGTATACATATTCTGTAGAATATTCTTTGTGGGAATGTATTACAAGTTATGGGAAAATAGAGAATATGATTATAAGGTTCATAAGGCATATAGAGTTGATTCTAAGGAAAATTCATTTCCAGAGATACTATTCTATGGGCTTTTGTTTATAGACGTTTGATTTTAAAATACAAATTATGAGCAAATACTATATGATTTAGGAATGATTCATAGATTAAGGCTTACAATCAAACAGAATATGATTGGAATTGAATGGAAAGAATCGCGTGTCTCATAAGTAATGGACTTTTTGTTAATTCCAATGATGACATGTTTATTATTCCTAACTCATACGAAATGCTATTTTATTATATTTATGTTATTTTAGCCGAAAAAATATGTTTGCGTTAGAAATCACTTATTGATTCGTTAGACAGGAAATAGAAGGACAACAAACGTATGCCATAAAGAAATAACAATAATATACTGGTATTCAATGGCACACAAGAAAGCACTTTAATATGATATACCCTATGATCTTATCCTAAAGCTCTCAATTGTTTGGTCAGTTATCAAGTTGTGTTACGTTTCTGTATTCAGTAATTAATTCTTATATAAATGTAGAGATTGTTTGGTCGGTAATGAGTTGAAATATAAGTTAATATATAATTGTGAAAACATTAAAAGTGATGAAAATGACCGAAAGAGTGGTCACTCATTTAACAAATTCATACGAAAACTTAGTGGACTGTGACTGATGCCCAAACACTTCGTTCACGTAAGTGATCATCAATTCAATCACTCGGGCCTGAGGGCCAGCCTCGAAGACTTCGGTGAACAAGTCGTTTATAGCTTCGCTATATATATATGGGACAGGCAGGCAATTTAAATTATTCAATAACTTCCACTACTAAACAATTTCTTAAATACACATACCGGGGCCGGAATATGGTGGGCGCGAATATAATGCCTAAATTGTTTGGCGACATATTATTATGCTCGTGAAAGTTAGTGATCCGTTTCAAGTGGTGGATCAGATATGAGAGGGTGGCCTTGTGATTCTTATGCAACTTATTAATACCGGCCCTCAACGCCGTCACCAGATCTGGCTTTTTGTCGCCGATATCTGAGTCGTGTTTATATATCCTTCCGATGTCTATGAACTCTTTGTAGACATCGTTTGTGATCAATGGGTGCTTAAGCTGTAAATTAGTAAATATTGTTACAGAATATTCTGTATAATATACAAATAAATGGCTTATGAGTTGAGACCTCTCTTAGAAAGACTTTGAGAACAGAGCACAAGTCGTTGGGCGTGACATCACTGACATCGATGAGATGGGGACCGCTCTCGAAGCTCTTGAGAATCTTCTGGACCCGAGAGCTGACTCCAGTCATGCGATATATGCCGGGAGTGAGACAACTGCGGCGCTCGATCTCCAGCGTACACTTGACCACCAGAACGGGCACCTCGTGGTCAGTGGCCGTCAGATCCATGTTAATGATGCTGGACTTGGGAGGTAACGGAGCCTTAGCGCACATGATAGTCATCTTTTTCAAGCATTTCTTATGGCTGATGAGTTCGCACTGAAAAAATAGTTGACGTGTTTTATCGCGTTTATAAAAATGTTTGTCAAAGTATTGATCAGTGAATTGAATGTCAAACCTCCTGACACTGGAAGCCCCAGAAGTAGACGTAAGTGTCGCAGATCTTGCAGCGGCCATAATTGGTTGTCTTCATGCGCTGAAGTTTATGGGTTTCGGCCGCCTTTGAAATCTTTTTCGGACGCTTCCACTTGGCTTCGCATTCAACGTTCACAAAAAAACATTTTTTATCTATTTTTTGGCGTTTTATTGAATTAAAGAATTTTAAACAACTTTTTTTTGTTAATTCTATGCACAAGTCGTGTACATTACAATGGGAACAGGAAAGGCGTTATGAATAGGCGTTTGATTAATAATAAATGTCTTTTCAAAAATAGAAACCTTATCATTAGATTTGAGTGTTTGGTTAAAAATATACTCACAATCTCTAAATACTTAATGTTGTCTATTAATGGAAAGTCTACTCTGCTATCATTTCATTAAATATTTATCACTCATTTAAAAAAGACTAAGGATTTCATGCATTTAATTACATCACATTAGAGATCTATTCTGTTCACGATTTTAGACTTTGTTTTATTATTAAGTGACTTATGTTTCGAGAGGATTGTATCAAAAATACGGTAATTGTATTATTGACTCAATTCTTATATAAAGTTATTTGACAGCACTTTCTGTGAAACACTTTTGGAGTTCACAGCCCTAACACACATACAGCACATACACACCGAGAGATCAATTGATTGAATTTATTGTAAATAAAAACACAATACCTTTAATCTCTTCAACAGATGTTTGCGCTTCAGATATGAGTGCTTCGCAGCTCTGTGTCGATGCACTCGGACTGGGGATCGGACTCCTCTCGTCTTCGGTGGTCTCATCGGCCGAGCGGGCGCTCCACGAACTGCTGGTGCTGTCCGACTCACTGCCCCGAGTGGCCACTGGTAGGGGTAGACTCCACTTCTTGGACGTCGTCAGACAGAGATCGTCTGAAGGGACGGCAGATAATTGTTAGCAAATAAATAAATGGTTAGTACTTTAGGACATATACGAGACAAACCTAAGGCGTGGGCGCCTCCCGTACTGCTCTCGGTCTCGGAGTCGCTGCAAATGCTGGGCTTCCGGTGCTTCTCCCGTCGGTTGCGACTGTGTCTCGTTGTCCGCAATTTTTGCCATTCGGTGGACGCCTTGTCGTCGCTTTTACCGCAATTGGTTTTCTTCGGCGATTTGTCTGACTTAGACGTCTCGGGCACTGGACTTAAATACATGTCCTCCTCCAGTGATGGCTATTATTAAGACGGTTTGCTGTGAATAAGTGTGAGAAGCGATGCACCAATCGATTCATTTTCACAAAAACTTTTGGCAAAAGCATTGGCGAAACTTTGTGGACAGCATTTCCCGATATATGTATATATGATCTCCCGAGTAGGTATGCGTGGAGTTGTGTATGTCTTGTGGTTGAGGCGTCAACTTTGGTTAAGAACTGGTGAGTGAATGAATTGAGTGGTGGTTTATATGTGATAATTGTTGTGATGGTTGTGGTGATGAAAAATGTATTTCATATCTCAATGATAAGTAATGAGTATATAATGACAATAATGGCGATCAAAGCAAAGGAGAGAGCAATTGGTTGGAGGAGAAGATGCATCTTATATATCAATATATGATAAATAGTGAGTCGAGTGCGAGAGTGGAGTGTGTTTTAAGGCTGAGATTGCTTTACGCCGTAGAGTATAGCGTATAGTATAGTGATGTGGAGGATATGGTGTACGCAATGATCGTTTTGAAATGATGAACAGTGCATGACATTAGGTCTGAGCACAAAAAAATCATTATAATCTCCAACTCTGTGTGCACTTTATATGAGCTATACGTTTAGAGTGTATAGAGAAGGCAAACACTACACTACCTGTGCTCTACAGCTTCTCTCCTTTCCTCTCTCCCCTATGGTTTCACTACAGAATCGCATTTATTATTTTTATGCCTCACATTTGTAAGCAAACTCTGATTTCATGTTCACTGCTAATGGCTTACAATAAATTAGGCCAACACTAGAAACAGGTATACCTATAGATAGATAGATTTGTTTGAATCATTGGTTTTGCCATTAGTTTCCACTTCCATTCAATTACACTGTCTTTCCATTTCATGTATCATCTATTATATTGAATACACTTTATATATCTATATTTTAATTCATATTCTGCTATAAAGTATACAGAATTTTATATTTATATAATACAGTACCGCATACAGTACAGTACAGTGCATTGGCATATAGAATTTATGGTACTACGGTATAATATGATACAAGAGTTATTGCTGTAAAACAATGAAATCCCCTTTAATTCAATTCTTTATTCATTTAGAGATTATAATATTTTGAAAATTTTATTTATAAATCTTATGTTAAAAATAAAGCAAAAACTAAATAACATCTTAAATGTCTTTATATTTTTTTTATTATGACTCTTATGAATATTTTTGAAAAATATTTTGATATAAAATTGACAAAAATAGAATACACAATATTTCTGAATATTAAAATAGACTATAAAAACAATGTATTTTTAAAATAAATATTCAATCGTGCAAATTAAGAAAATAATTAGTGATTCTCTATTATCGTAAACAAATTTTGCTTGTTTCTATTTTTAATAATATTTTTACATAGAATTTGAATTAATATTAAGGAACTAGATTTCTTATTATTGAATGTCAATTGGAAATATATGATTAATTTGCCATTTACTGCCATAGACCCACTATAAAATCCTCGGGTCATACCTACTTGATTTGTAAATTATTACAAGAATCGCTATACATAGAGAGACTAATTTTGTATAATACAAATATTCCGTGAAATTGCCATTTATTATATAATAATTGTATTCATTTTATAACTCATTTGTATATATATAACTTATATGTTCAATAATTTCCATATACCGGTAAATCATGTTTAATGCAAAAAAATTATTAAAAGCATTTTCTAAAATTAGAAAAAACTAAAAATCATTTTTAAGAGCCTTTGTGCAAAAGCGGTGACACAAATGGCAACAAAAATTTAATGAATAATAAAATTGAATTAGTGTTGAACACAAAATTGAATTATAATTAATGCATTCGTTTATTGAATTGTCTGTCGTTTTCAATGGAAAAATATGCGATTAAATGGAAAAAATAAATAATTTCCGGGACTTATGGATGACATCAGAAGTAACACAAAGAATCTTCACTTCATTTCATAAATCAAAATGTGTTTACTTTTCTAAGAATTGTGTTATTTGTGTTACATTTGATAAATATAAATGTCAAACACATAAATGCTCAATTCATAAAAATTGTCAATACTTTTGTATAACTTTTATTCATGAAAAATATTAAACTTTGATTTACGGTATTATTTATAAAGAATACAAATTATAAATTCTCATTGACAATTAGACATTAAGTAAAAACCATATTTGCATTTTAGTTTAACTAAACTATTCATACAAATAATATGATTTTAAAACATTTTAAAAGTTTCTTTATTCTCAAAGTAACCACTAATACATACAGAATCTGTATTACACATTTATACATTTTCTATAAATATGTTTATTTAAAGTGAACTTATTGATCAAATAGAGCATTAAGAATTTTATGTATTATTTTTAGATAGTAATCATTATAAAACCATAATTACCTACTATTACTGTTATATAAGGTTTGCTATTATGTAACATTATAAAAGCAAAAAAGTTTATTTCAATTTACAAAATAATATAATTTTAAAAAATCCATTCAATCATTTGTTCAATAATTATCCGGTAATATAAAATCAATACATCAAAACTTAATCATAAATACAGTACACGCTTATGATGTGATGATTAATGACATGATTTATACAAAATACTGAATATCAATAAATTTTCAAATTTATTTCAACTTTCTAGAAAATACACAAAATATTGGATAATCTCATAGACTTTTGAGCAGTAATTATGCGAATATATCATAAGAATTAAGTGATTATAATGTCATTCAATAAATCAGATATTTATGTATGGATTCACAGAATATAATAAAGTGTTGGCCTTTTGTTCACACAATTCGTTCATTTCAGAGATAAAGGGTTTCAGTCAACGAGTGATTCAAGAATTAAAATATTGTATAAATAAATAATAATCTTTTGTAAAACAAAACTCATTCATTGATTCAAAAGTGAATTAAAGCTAAGAATTGGCCGAAGAAGAAGAGCCGCCACAACAGGAGGAGGACTGTTGGCCGCTGTCGTGGAGTTGGATCTGATTGTTGTGATGCAGTTTGAAGGTATCCATCGATGTCTTGGTGAGCGCACTGACGGCCAACTTCTCGGCGATCTCTGTCCACATCTCGTGAACGCCTTCATTAGTCTTACAACTGATTTTGAAAATGCCATTGAATTTCGGGAACTGCTCCACGAAGAGCTCGATATCTGAGTCGTGGACTTCGTGCGGCTGAGCGTCGCTCTTATTGCCGACCAAAAAGATCTTCGCGTTTTCGGCTAAACTCAGGATTTCGATCAAATGCTGTGACAAACAGTGAAACGATTCCAATGAGTCCAGACTGAAGACCAGGAGCGCCGCCTCAGCGAACTTGTAGTAGGAGTTGGTGATGGAGGCCACCCTCTCGAGCCCTCCCGTGTCCCACAACTGCAACCTAATGGACCGGTCGTTGGGTCTCACGTCGAAAGTGCGGCTCAAGTGGTCCAACCCTAGCGTCGATTGTCTGGATTTGGCCGAAGACATGGTCGCCGTCTCGATGTACGTGTTTGTGGCGAACCGTCTGAATAGGGAGGTCTTCCCCACGCCGTACTCGCCGCACAAAATCACTTTGAACTCCGGTATAGACACCGAAGCCATGGATCAGTTGAGTGATGCCTACGGTGTAGACGACTGGACACACACTCACTGGCGATGAATGCAAAACATTGAGAAACAGATGTTTTCTGTGTTTTCCTATGCCTTCACTCATTCATAACAACAATACACCAAATGTTATGCAATCATAGCCTCCGTTCATTCAGTTTTCGGTCAATCACTCACTCATTGTTTTGGCTCTAACTGTGAGTTGTGTTCACTTAATTCAGTCATTGTATGCTATAATGAATGTGTATTTCATTCAAATTGTAATTACATTGAAATTATGTTTAATTAGTTGTTTGCGTCAATACTAGGGCTGAAGTGCATGTTATGTAACCCCGAAAGCCGTGTCACTAATAGACATGAAAACATTGACGGCATATATGAACGCATCGCTAACTGCAAGGTAGGGCAGTATTGTGTGAAATTGAACAAAACTGAACATGGTTATTATGGTGATTATCTCATGTAGTAATTACTCATTTTAATTACGATAATAATAATGACAACAAAATGATTGCCTTTTGAGGCGTTCATCGCTTCCCATCCCTTGACTTACATATCACTGGAGTTTACGGTTTGAAACCAATGAACAAATGGACCAAACAGTTGACAAATTGGTGTTATCTGTGGTGATATGAGCATGATAAGTTTGATATGTTTGTGTAGAGTTTGACCCGGCGCTTATCGCAATGCGTTAACAAATTTTATATGATTTTATTGATGCCTCAAAATTAGCAAAAAGTATATTTAATATATATTTTGTGACAAAAACTTAGCGGAAGTTGTATTGAATATTATAGTAATAAATGCATATTTGGTGCACAATTGGGCCCACATTTGCGTTCATTATAATAATTGCCATAAAATGTAGTCATTGTTCAGTCGGCGATCGGTTGCCGTATTTCCGCAAATGTATGAACACTTGCTTTGAGACCAACTGCTCGACCGGTGATGCCGTCGACCAGTTCCGCGCCCGACAGCCCTCTTACATGGCGTGGATTGGATGGGACTGTCATCAGGAGTGCGAACACCAGTGCCAGTGGCAGACAGTCAACCATTTGATGGTCACCGGAGATAATAGCACTCGTTTGCCACAGTTTTATGGAAAGGTATGCATTCGTATCACTCGTTTGACTATAGAATAATTATCGAGAATATTGTGTGTATTTAGTGGACATTCTTCCGGTTCTATGGTATTGAAGAGCCGGCATCTGTGCTCTTCTCGTTTCTCAACCTATTGTCTAATATCTACGGTTGGAATCAATACCGCAAAGCCATTAAAAGTGATCCCTATTTCAGTGTTTGGACACTTCAAGCACTGTTAGCCATCAATGCCTGGTTCTGGTCTACAATCTTCCACACCAGACAGTCATCAGTGACTGAAGTATTAATCTATTGTTTGAAAAGTATTTATTTGTCGTTTACATTGATTATTGTATTTTTTAACAGAAATTCGATTACTTTTCCGCGTATTCTGTAGTCATATACTCACTCTTTGCACTAACCGTCCGATTCTTAGATTACCTAAACATTAGTTCAAAAGCACTTTTGACACAAATAGGGATCGGAATGCCTTTCTTGGCCTTTTTTACTTATCACATCCATTACTTATTTTATATACACTTTGATTATGGATACAACATGAAAGTCAACGTATGCACAGGTAATGACCGCTTTATTTTAAGGTATAATAGTGTTGATGATATACACGATTCCCTTCCTACCGATAGGTATATTAAGCTCAACGGGTTGGCTGTTATGGTGTTATCTAAATCGTCACAAAGGAAGACATATCTGGAAGTGTGTCTTCAGTATCTTTCTATTGAATTTCTTACTATTACTAGAAGTCTATGACTTTCCTCCGATTGCATTTATTTTCGATGCCCACTCCTTATGGCATTTGGGAACCGTTCCCCTACCAGTCCTTTGGTTTAGGTATTTATAACAATGATTTCCATGCTATACAAGCGATGTCTGAAAAAATATTTGTCCATAAAAATAGTTTTCTATCCGACGAAGCAAACCATTCCGATATGAAGTCCAAACTCAAACTGTGATAAAACCGATACAAACACTGTAACACATATTAGCAAACACTTAACCATACATTCCATTAGTAAGGTAACAGTCATTTCAATATAACAAATATGAACACAAATTATGTAATTACGGACCGGAAATATCGGTCTAACGGCCAGATTGTGTGCCATAAACACTGGCCTTAATAGTTGTGATTGTCTTGAGTTACGCCTAAACACAGACGAATGGATTCGATGCCAAATTCCAGATTAATATATGCTATAAACAGAAATCTATCAAATTTTATATCAATTTTTAAGTCATTTTTAATATTTTTTGTTTTTAAAATCACAATTAAGTTATTAAAAAATAATAAATTATTTTTAGTTGAAATATAAAATTGAAATTTCAATAATGATTGCTTTAGTGGTGGGGCGCCGGGAATGTAGTCACTAGCCATCGTTGGAGTTATCCATGAATTTATTAGATCCGGTGCCGTATTTCATTTGCATGAGTCGGTCGATACCCATCTCTTCGAACTGTGCTTTCGTGAGCCAAAACTGTGGCTTATCTTTCATGACATCGGCTAATACGGCGCCGCCGATGAACACCATATCCTTCCTTCGCGGCGGGTCTTCAATACGAATCTTGAATTTCTGTTACAATTCAAAGACAGATATAGAAATTGCTTCTTAAGAAATGGTGGCATTCCGGTGGCGAACCTGTAGTTTCTCGACGTCTCCCTTAAGCACTCTCTCTAAGTAGAGTTGTTTGAGTTCGCGTTCGAGTCTCGACGGCAACCCGGGATACATAGTGGAGCCCCCGCTCAGCACTATATGCTTATATAACTCGCTCCTGATGTCCATATCGGCGCTATTTATAGTAGAAAATAGGAGTTCCGCAATGCCCTGGCCTTCTATGTTAACCAAATGAGGTTGGAATAGGGCTTCGGGAGCCTCGAAGCGTTCACCGCCCAGTTTAATGACACGCCCGTCCGGTAGCTATCGATAGGAAAACACCCGTTAATCAAATGAGTGAATAGTGTTGAGTGGCAGGACATACAGCGTAGGTCTCAGTCAAATAAGTGGTCTCCTGTGCCAACCGCTGCTCCTGTTCCACATTGTATGCGATGTAACACTTCTTCTCCTTCAGCATACGAACCGTCTCGAAGTCCGCCGTATGGTTGAAGGCATAGCCCCGAAGCAAAAGCAACTGATTTCCAAATATATCAATAAAACATTTGCTTTAAATATAATGATTGCAACAATAATTCATTAATTAATTTATTGAATTACTTTTATGAGATATCGGGTCACTTCCCGACCGGCGATATCCAGGCGTCGCGTCAGATGTGGTAAAGCGAAGCCTTCATATACGGGACAGATATGAGTGACACCGTCGCCGATGTCGACCACAACGCCAGTCATTAAACCTAATAGCGATACAAATATAGGTAAATACAGTATTGAACTGAATAATGGACGGAATAATGTGGTGAATACCCTGAGCATAGAGTGTGAGCACGGCTTGAATGGCGATATAAGTGGAATGAAAGCCATACTTCTCGAACATCACTTCAATCATCTTCTTCCGGTTGTTTATGGGATTCATCGGCGGTTCGGTTAACAATATCTTGCAGTTCTTGGTATCGATGTTAAGGCGGTTGTAAAAAGTATAGTCCCAGACGTGACACATGTCCTCCCAATTGCGGACAATGCCTTCAATTCAATAGCCATTTAATAACAATTTAATTGTATGTTTCAATTGCAAACCATTTTCCATGGGATA